CCTCCCCTCCTTCCTCCCTCCCTCTCTCTCCCTCCCTTCCTTCCTTCCTTCCTCCATCCTTTCCCTTCCCTTCCCTTCTCCCTCCTTTCCTCTCTCCCTCTATGACTTTAAGCAACCAACATTGGCTTAAAACAACAATCAAGAAGTATTCCCCCCCCAACAGAAATAAAACGCAGTGTATCAAGGCCAATCTTCAACCCAATAACGCTAAAGATGGGCTTACTTAGACCCTGGCCCAGGACCCAAGGCGAATGGCACATTTTCAAAGCGTTACAAAACACCAACAGGGTTGGGGCCTTCACAATTCAGATGGGGACAGGCTGACTCACAGAACAGGCCTTGTGACAAATGAGGCACATCTCCTCGGTCCTACCTGATGACATGGTTTAATAAGAGAGACTACCCGGACCTTAAAGGATGGGTAGAAATAGTCAGAGATTGATGGTACAAGAAATACAGGTAGTCCTCAAATTACAACCATTCGTTTAGCGATTGAAGTTACGACGGCACTTGAAAAAAAAGTGACTTGTAACCGTTTTTCACACTTAGGACCATTGCAGCATCCCTTAAGGTCACATGATCAAAATCCAGACGCTTGGCAACTGACTCGCATTTATGACGGTCGCAGTATCCCGGGGTCATGTGATTCCCCCTTCTGCGACCTTCTGACAAGCAAAATCAGTGGGCGAGCCAGCTTCACTTAACAACCCACGTTACTAACTTGACAGCTGCAGTGATTCACTTAACAGCCGTGGCAAGCAAGGTCGTAAAATGGGGCTTAACTGACTTAACAACGGTCTTGCTTAGCAATGGAAAGTTTGAGCTCAATTGTGATTGTAAGTCGAGGACAGCCTGTATCTTTCCACGAAGTGCTTTATGGGATGGTAGGTGGCTCTTTTGAGTTGTACCCAGAAGCTGACTGGGAACCGGTGAATTTCTAGTTCCGTCCCTTCATTTAGAAGAAGAAAAAAAAAAGGGTGGGTGGGAGGGCTGCTCATGGTTTTATTTAACATGCAAACACAGCTCAATCCCTTTTTCTCTTCATCCTGGACTATCATCTGCATTTTTGTCTCGAAAGTCGTGCCTGAGTGTTTTGTTTCTTTCTCGTTTCAGATTTTCTATTTTGTACATACATTGATTTGTATATACTGTATATGATGACTTCGGTGGGCAGTGAACGTACTCGGGGCACTCGAGAAAAAACACAGATTCCAGCCACGCAACTGACACAACCCCAGAAACCAGTAGTCCAGGTAGGAATTTGGCAACGTTGACTCCATGTCCTTAACCTATAAATGTTAATGGACAAGCAAGAATGTCATGCTTGTGAAGTGTATAATTACATTTTCTGTAGATATGAGGTGTGGGTGCCCCAAAACCAGCACCAAAGTTTGAAGACTTATTTCTTGTTGTGTTTTTCAGTGTGCCTATGCAGGTAAGTCCTTGACTTACAACAGTTACAGTTCATTTAGTGACTGTTCGAAGTTAAAACAGCACTGAAAAATATTGTCATTATGACCATTTTTCACACTTTCGACTGTTGCAGCATCCCCGCGGTCACATGATCAAAGTTCAGAAGCTTGGAAACTCATATTTATGATGGCTGCAATGTCCCAGGGTCACGTGATCCCTTTTTGCGACCTTCTGACAAGCAAAGTCAATGGGGAAGCCAGATTCACTTAACAACTGTCTAACTAACTTAACAACTGCAGTGATTCACTTAACAACTGTGGCTAGAAGGCAGGACAAGAAGCAACAGATGGAAACTAATCAAGGAGAGAAGCAACCTGGAACTAAGGAGAAACTTCCTGACAGTGAGAACAATTAACCCGTGGAACAACCTGCCTCCAGAAGCAGTGAATGCTCCAACATTAGAAATTTTTAAGAAGGGACTGGACAGCCATTTGTCTGAAATGGTATAGGGCAGGGGTAGGCAACCTCGGCTCTTTTATGACTCATGGACTTCAACTCCCAGAATTCCCGAGTCAGCATAGCTGACTCAGGAATTCTGGGAGTTGAAGTCCATGAGTCATAAAAGAGCCGAGGTTGCCTACCCTTGGCATAGGGTTTCCTGCCTGAGCAGGGGGTTGGACTAGATGACCTCCAAGGTCCCTTCCAACTTTATTATTATTATAGAAAGATCATTCAGACTAGAAAGTTCTGACTTTCCAATTCTGGAAAGAGACTTTTGATGGCTCCTAAAGTCTTTGAGAACCAGAGCAGGGTGTAGCCCTCGTGAACAGATCACCACCCGCTTCAAATCTGTGCTCGGGCGTGAATGACGACTCCAGTCTTGGCTCGAGTACTTCTGTGGGGATATGACACAGCGGGGAAAGCCACTTCCAAGAGCAATCAGCACAGCATTAGAGCTGTGTAAAAAGGTCAAGGACTGAACAAGAAGGTATTTTTCCTGTAGCTATAACAAGGAATCACACAGTGCTGTTACCTCTGCTTTATTGAGCTTCGCTAGGTACAGGTCGTCCTTGACTTACGACCAACAATTGAGCCCAACATTTATGTTGCGAAGTGAAACACTTGTTAGGTGAGTTTTGCCCCGTTTTACGTCCTTCCTTGCCACTGTTGTGAAGTGAATCATTGGAGATGTTAAGTTAGTAGTAGTAGTAGTAGTAGTAGTAGTAGTAGTAGTAGTAGTAGTAGTAATAATAATAATAATAATAATAATAATATAATAATAATAATAATAATAATAATAATAATAATAATAATAATAATAATAATAATAATAATAATAATAATAATAATAATAATAATAAAGTTGGAAGGGGCATTGGAGGTCATCTAGTCCAACCCCCTTCTCAGGCAGGGAACCCTATACCATTTCGGACAAATGGCTGTCCAGTCTCTTCTTAAAAACTTCCAGTGTTGGAGCATTCACCGCTTCTGGAGGTAGGTTGTTCCACTGGTTAATTGTTCTCACTGTCAGGAAGTTTCTCCTTAGTTCTAGGTTGCTTCTCTCTTTGGTTAGTTTCCACCCGTTGCTTCTTGTCCTGCCTTCAGGCGCTTTGGAGAGTAGCTTGACTCCCTCTTCTTTGGGGCAGCCCCTGAGATACTGGAAGACTGCTATCATGTCCCCCCTCGTCCTTCTCTTCGTTAAACTAGACATACCCAATTCCAGCAACCGTTCTTTATATGTTTTAGCCTCCAGCCCCCTAATCATCTTTGTTGCTCTTCTCTGTACTCTTTCTAGAGTCTCAACATCTTTCACTTAACATGGGTTGTTAAGTGAATCTGGCTTCCGCATTGACTTTGCTGATCAGAAAGTTGCAAAAGAGGATCTCATGACCCTGGGACACTGCAAATGTGAAGTAGTTGCCAAGCATCTGAATGTTGATCATGTGACCAAGGGAAGCTGCAACGGTCGTAAGTGTGAAAAATGGTCCTAAGTCACTCTTCTCAGTGCTGTTGTAACTTTGAACGGTTCCTAAATGAACTGTGGTAAGTTGAGGACTATCTATACCAGGGTTAGGTAACCTTGGCTCTTTTATGACTGGTGGACTTCAACCCCCAGAATTCCTGAGCCAGCCATGCTGAGGGGAAAGGGAGAGGTTTCCAAGCTGAGCCAGGTTGGCTCAGGAATTCTGGGAGTTGAAGTCCACGAGTCATAAAAGAGCCAAGGTGGCCTACCCCTGATCTATACAATCTTTTAATCAGGCTCCTAGCCAAAGTGGGCCTGATTTACCAGTTGGCTACCATGATGTGTTTGCATCCCAAAGACCAGCTGAGTAAGCAGAAAAAGCCAAGTTACTCCAGAGAAGCACACGCAAGCGAGAAATATTTGTGATGCACTGTGTATGGGAGATTTCATCCTGATAACACTTAAATATGGCCCAGAGAGTGAATTCTACCCACAGAACACTCTATGCAGGAAGATGCTGTGGACAGGAACTTGTGAGCATTGGTAAAATACAGGTAGTCCTCGACTTACAACAGTTCATTTAGTGACCGTTCAAAGTTTACAGCTGTACTGGAAAAGGTGAGTTATGACCATTTTTCATGCTTAACGGCTGTTGCAGCATCCCCATGATCGTGTGATCAAAATCCAGAGGGTTACAGTGTCCTCAGGTCATGTGATCCCTTTTTGCAACCTTTCTGGCAAGCAAAGTGAATGGGAAAAGCCAGATTCACTTAACAACCGTGTCACTAAGTTAACAGCTGCGTCGATTCCCTTAACAATTGTGGCAGGAAAGGTTGTAAAATGGGGCAAAATTCACTTAAGTGAATTTCACTTAACAAAAAGTTTGGGCTCTGTTGTGGTCGTAAGCCGAGGACTATCTGTACTCTCTCAACTTGTGGCAGTGAGGAAAAGCTATAATGAAACGTCGTGGAACTCAGCATCCTGTCCTCTTGCTATTTTAATTTTTCTGGCAACTGGATGACCTCAAGAGCTGCTTAGCACAGCAAAAATGAGGCCTCCAATTAGAGCAGTAACCGAAACCCGTCTTCAGATGCCGCCGAATGGATTGTCCTTCTTCAAATTTCAAGCTTAGAAATGTCTTGTTGTTTTTTCCTAAATGCTTCCTCAGTTTGTGCTTTTTTTGCCCCCGGAGTTTTGGGCTAGTCAAAAAGTAACAAACCAGGACAAAGAAAATTCAGTTTTGTTTACTACCGTTATGTTTGCAAGCTTCTTGTCCACGCCGGAGAATTTTCAGCTGTTATCCCCAACTGGCATAACGTGTAGTCTTGCTACAATTTCCTTTTGCTAAATTTCATAAATTAGAGCTGGGGCATTGAAATGAAAAAAAAAATGCAAATATATTGAGTGGTGTGGTTTAACTTTGGCCAGAAACTATATGTGTGGACTCTTAATGGATGCCAGGTGGGTTTCCTGGTCTAATCAAACTAGTTTACATCCAGTTCAGGCCATAGTTTTGAGTACATTTGCAGTTCTGTTTAGATGGTAAGTGCAAGTCATCAACTGGGGTTTGTATTCATTGGCTAAAGTAGCTCCACTGGGAGGTATAGCCTGCTGGAAAAACCCATTTATTTATTAAATTTTCATGCCACCAATCTCCCCTGGAAATCAGGGCTGTGGAGTCGGTAGATAAATGTTCCGACTCCGACTCCTCAGTTTTTTGTACTTCCGACTCCGACTCCGACTCCCCAACTCTGACTCCTCTGTATTAATATGCGAATGTATTTTATACATTCCTTGAAGGAAAGAAAGGCAACATACATGTCATTACCACAGGACTACTGGCTGGGAAGCCAACAGTCTACTGTATTGAACAGTTTAAGCAAAAGACAAACACAATGAAAACAACAAAGTTTTATTAATTTTTTTTTATTAATTTAATTAATCAAGTGGCTNTTACCAGTTCAAAAATACAAACCACATTATTTGGTTGTTTTAGAACAAAAACAAAGCTTATCTATATGAACCAAAAACAAAATCTGTAAAATTCCAATCTAAATTTAGTAGGAGTCGGAGTCGGTGCATTGTTTGCCGACTCCGACTCCAGGTACCCAAAATTTCCTCCGACTCCTCGACTCCGACTCCACAGCCCTGCTGGAAATGACTAAAGGGAGCTTACAACTAAGTACTGTATAGGTACTCCTCGACTTACAAGTTGCAATGGCACAGAAAAAATTGATTTAATGACCATTTTTCACACTTACGGATCGTTCTGGCATCTCCATGGTCACATGATCAAAATTCAGATGCTTGGCAACTGGCATGTATTTATGACAGTTACAGTGTCCCAGGGTCACGTGATCCCCTTTTGCGATCTTTTGACAAGCAAAATCAACGAGGAAGCCAGATTCGCTTAACAACCGTCTTCCTAACTTTAACAGTTGCATTGATTCACTGAACAACTGGGGCAAGAAAGGCCATAAAGTGGAGCAAAGCTCACTTAACAACTGTCTTGCTTAGCAACAAAAAATCTGTAAAAACAAGATAAAACATTCACATATTAAAATGATAAATAGCATGTATTTGTTTGCCAGGAGACAAACTTAAGAGCGAGGGAAAAGATGATGATGAACATATTTTTTCTATACCATCCCCAAAAAGCAATAACTTGCAGCCATCCACCATTGTTTGTTTTCTAAATAAAAGCTCACAGGATCCAGAGGCATCTGGATAATGATAGGATCCAGAGGCATCTGGATAATGAAGATTGGATTGTTTTACAGCATAGCAGCTTCCCATTCTTTTTATGATGATTTAAATGGTGTTTTTTTTTTAACCAGTTGGACCATGAAGCCTAAAAGCCAACACAGGAGGTTATCTAAGGGCCAGCCATGCTAATCTGAGATTCTACACCTCCAATAACTTCTTATTTTGTTTTCTAACATAATTATAATTGCCAGACGATTTAGTGTTAAGACCAAGCCAGGTTACTGTTGTTGTTCAGCCCAGTGTTATTCAATGGACCATCCTTAATGTGATGTGCTTAAAGCCATTATAAGAACTCACAGGTTTAGACCCCTCTCCTCTCCCCCACCCTCTTACAAGCACAAAAGCTCTTAAGGCCTTTTAACTGTGGTTTGGAGTGCTGATTGTGGCTCCTAATCAGGTAGCTTTGAAATATATTTCATTTGATAAAATGTTATCCGCCCCTTTTACCGTGCCCTGTTAAATCTTGTATCCCGAGAACTGTTTTCTGTTGGACTGTTGTTAGGAGTGGTTTATTTTTTTAACACTTGCTTATAATCTGCAATGGGGTTGCTGGACAGGGAAAAAACACAGAAAAAGTCTTATTCTCCCCCCCCCCCAAATTAAAAATAGAAAAATAAATTGCAGGAGAGTAAGCAGTGGGGGGGAATATAGGTAGTCCTCACATGCTTGTATGGAAAAGACAGCTATGGGTCGTCCTCAACTTACAACAGTTCATTTAGTGACCGTCCAAAGTTATAATGGCACTGAAAAAAGTGAGTTATGAAAATTTTTCACGCTTAACGACCACTGCAGCATCCCCACGGTTATGTGATCAAAATTCAGATGCTTAGCAACTGACTCATCTATATGACGGTTTCAATGGCCTGGGGTCGTGTGATCCCATTTTGCAACCTGACAAGCATTGGGGAAGCCAGATTCACTTAACAACCGGGCAACTAACTCAACAACTGCAGTGATTCACTTAACGAGCGTTGCAAAAAAAAACTTAACAAGTTTTGCCTCATAAAATGGGGCAAAAGTCACTTAGCAAGCTCTTCACTTAGCAACATAAAACTTTGGCTTCCGTTATGGTCGTAAGTCGAGGACTCTGTACAGTATACTAATTTTGCATGCAGGTTTGTGTCTTATATTTCATGGATGTTTTTGCATTTTTCAGGCCACAGCCGAGCAGATTCGCCTGGCCCAAATGATATATGATAAGAACGACAGAGACTTTGAGGATAAAGTGAAACAAGTAAGTTTCCACCCCAACTTTGAGAGAGAGAGAGAGAGAGAGACAGACAGACAGACAGACAGACAGACAGACAAAGAGAGAGAGAAAGACAGAGGGGGGGGGAGAGACAGAGAGAGGAAGAGAGAGAAAGACAGAGAGAAAGAGAGGGGGAGAGAGGAAGAGAGAGAAAGACAGAGAGAGGGGGGAGAGAGACACAGAGAGAAAGACAGAGAGAAAGAGAGAGGGGGAGAGACAGAGAAAGACAGAGAGAGAAAGAGAGACGAGGGGGGAGAGAGACAGAGGAAGAGAGAAAGACACAGAGAGAAAGACGGGGAGAGAGACAAAGAGAGAGGAAGACAGGAGAAGAGAGACAGAGGAAGAGAGAAAGACAGAGAGAGAAAGGGGGGAGAGAGAGAGGAAGAGAGAAAGAGAGAGAAAGGGGGAGAGAGAGAGAGAGGAAGACAGAAAGACAGAGAGAGAAAGAGAGGAGGGGGGAGAGAGACAGAGAGGAAGAGAGAGAAAGACGGGAGAGAGACAAGAAGAGAGAGAAAGACAGAAAGGGGGCAGAGAGACAGAGAGAGGAAGAGAGAAAGAGAGGGGGGAGAGAGACAGAGAGAGGAAGAGAAAGGGGGGGAGAGACAGAGGAAGAGAGAAAGAGATGGGGGAGGAAGAGAGAGACAGAGAGAGGGAGAGAGACAGGAAGAGAGAGAAAGACAGAGAGGGGAGAGGGAGAGAGAGAGAAGAGAAAGACAGAGGGGGGAGGGGGAGAGAGGGGGGGAGATTGCCATGGCATGTAGTTGAGTGGGCTCCAGTCTTCCACAGGTAGTCCTCGACTTACAACACAGTTTGTTTAGAGACTGAAGTTACAATAGTACTGAAAAAAATGACTAATGGCCGTTTTTCGTACTTACGACTGTTGCAGCATCCCCGTGGTCATGTGATCAAAATTCAGACACTCAGCAACTGACTCATATTTATGACGGTTGCATTGTCCCGGAGGTCATGTGATCCCTTTTTGGAACCTTCTGACACTCAACAGAGGAACCAGATTCATTTAACAACCACGTTACTAACTTAACAACTGCAGTGATTTACTTAACTGTGAGAAGAAAGGTTACAAATTGGGGCAAAACTCACTTAACAAAAATGTCTCGCTTAGCGATGGAAATTTTGGGCTCGATCGCGGTCGTAAGTTGAGGACTACCTATATATTCTAAAGCCATGTCCAAGTCCTCTTGCTTCCTAAAATTTAAAAGTAGCTTCTTCTCCCTTCTGATACGTTGCTGTGAAGTTTAGTACAAGCAGTCCTCGACTTACAACCGTTCATTTAGCGGCAATTTGAGGATACCACAGCACAGCACTAAAAAAAGTTGCAGCATTCCCACATGATCAGACTTCAGGCAACCGGCATGCAATTTATCCCAGTTGCAGCATCCCAGGTTCCTCCGATTGCCATCGGCCACCTTCCCAAGAGTCAACAGGAGAAGGTAGATTTGCTTAATGACCTCATGATTCAGCGAACAACTGCAGTGATGTGGCTAGAACCGTTATAAAATTGGGTGTGACTCACTTAACAACGGCCCGGCTTGTTGTTAGTTGCGGTCATGTCCGACCCATCGCGACCCCATGGACAACGTTCCTCCAGATGATACCACTCTAATGGCAGAAAGTGAAGAGGAACTAAAGAGCCTCTTGATGCGGGTGAAGAAGGAGAGTGCAAAAGTTGGCTTGAAACTCAACATCAAGAAAACCAAGATCATGGCATCCGGCCCTCTCAATTCCTGGCAAATAGATGGGGAAGAAATGGAGGTAGTGACAGATTTGATCTTCCTGGGCTCCAAGGTCACCACAGATGGGGACTGCAGCCAAGAAATTAGAAGACGCTTGCTCCTGGGGAGGAAAGCTATGGCAAATCTAGACAGCATACTAAAAAGCAGAGACATCACCCTGCCAACAAAAGTACTTATGGTCAAGGCCATGTTTTTCCCAGTTGCAATGTATGGCTGTGAAAGTTGGACCATAAGAAAGGCTGAGCGCCAAAGAATGGAGGCCTTTGAACTCTGGTGCTGGAGAAGACTCCTGCGAGTCCCCTGGACTGCAAGGCGATCCAACCGGTCAGTCCTAGAGGAGATCAACCCCGACTGCTCTTTAGAAGGCCAGATCCTGAAATTGAAACTCAAGTACTTTGGCCACCTAATGAGAAGGAAGGACTCACTGGAGAAGAGCCTGATGCTGAGAAAGATGGAGGGCAAGAGAAGAAAGGGACGACAGAGAATGAGGTGGCTGGATGGAGTCACTGAAGCAGGAGGCGTGAGCTTCAATGGACTCCAGAAGATGGTAGAAGACAGGAAGGCCTGGAGGAACGTTGTCCTTGGGGTCGCGATGGGTTGGACACAACTTCACAACTAACAACAACAACAGAGCAAGATATAGGGAGTCCTCAACCTACGGCCAGAATTGAGCCCAATCTTTCCCTTGCTAAGCAAAATGGTGATTGGGAGTTTTGCCCCACTTTATGACCTTTCTTGCCACAGTTGTTAAGCGAACCACTGAAACTAGTTACACGGTCGT